ACCCGCGCGCAGGCTGCACCCGGGCTCCCGCGGCGGAGGCGGCTGCGCGGTGCCTGGCAGGAAGCTGCGGAGCCCGGAAGAGCCCGCGCTGCCACCAACACGTTGCGCGGAGTCATTCGACGGGCTGGGGCCCCACGTGGGCGGGGCAGGCCTGGCCAGGCGTGGGGCTGCGCTCCGCCCGCCCCGGTGGCCCCAAGACCCCAGGGAATCGGAGCCGGGTGGAGGAGCGATAGCGGGCGCGCTCTCCAGACGCTGTGCTGCGCATTTCTCGTATTTTATTTCTTTCACTTAATTGTGCAGCCTCCTTACGAAGCAGGCATTCTGCTACCTCACTTGATAGCTGATTTAGCATCCAGAGCCTGATCTCCGCAACCCAGAGTGTGTGAGACCAAGAATCAAAGACTGCAGGGATATGAAGGTAAACCCTGGCTTTACAGAGGGGGAGATGGAGGCCCCCAGGCTGGCTGATGCTCTGCAGTGCATTTCAGCGTCTCCCCCACTTCCTTCTTTCTCCCCAAGTCTTACCTAAAGTGTCCAGGTGCTTTGTACCTCTGCATACCACCAGGTTGGGATGCCTATCTTTGCATGTGCACTGGGCTGTGGAACAGCACTTAAGAGAATTAACATCTCCCGCCCAGGCTGAACCGAGTTTCAAACTCCAAGGAGTAACTGCCTGCCGCCCCTGGTTTGTAAACTAAACGGGGCTCGGGTGGAGAAAGACAGTTGTGCAGGTTCTGGTGGGAGAAGCAAAGGTGAGGACTGACGGGGCGCTTTCTGTGACCCCACCTTCCCTGGAGCAGCATTCCCTGAGCCTTGGAGCTCCCCTTTGTACTCAGGATCGATCCTGGACAAAGTTCCCCAGTGCAGCTGAACACACAGGGCCCAGCGACCTTAAGCAGCTAACTTCTGGCCCTGCCAGAGAAAGAGACAGACAAACGCAGCAATGCATCCGTTTTGTGTTGCTACATAACAAAGTAGCATGATAAATGACCCACCACTTATCCACTTAAAATGCTACAGTTATGATTGCAGAATGTGGGTCAGGAGGCGGAGCTGGGTCCTCTGCTTCAAGGTGTCTCCTGGGGCTACAATCAAGTCCCAGCCGTCAGCAGGTCCCCTCTGAATGCTCTGTGAGGGAAGGAGCCGTTCCACTTGGCTTTCGCCGGCAGACTCACTCCTTGGAGCCTGTTGGACTAGAGCCTCCGTCCCAGTGGGCTGTTGGCCAGAGCCTGCCCTCGGCTCCTGTCAGGTGGGCCTTTCCAGCATAGCAACTTGCATCATCAGAGTATTCAAGCCAAGATGGCAACAGAGAGATTCTGCCAGCAAGACAGAGGTCATGATTTTATGAAACTTAATCGCCGATGTGACCTTCCCGCACCTTTACCCTGTTCTGTCAGTAGAAGGGAGTCACAGGTTTTGTCCAGGCTCGAGGAAAGGGGATCATACAGCAGGGTGAATATCAGGTAATGGAAGCTGGGTCTCCTCTGAGAAACTCTCTGCCACATCTGGCATGACACATTCAAATGGGGGACAGGGTTGAACGCCAGACTGTCAGAAGACGTCATCCAGGAAGTACGATCTGAAATGCATGCTCAGTACCCTAGCCTGCTCCAGTGACGAGCACACAGATGGGTCACCTTGATAAAGGAGGTGGAGATGGCAAAGCTGGCTGGAGAAGTGGGTGGGACCTGTCAATTGCAAGATCCTAGGGTTCAACTAGCCGACTGTCAGGAGCCTCTAGCAGCTCCCGGGAGATGTTGGCAGCATAGGCGTGAAGCCACAAGGGCCTTGCTACCATGGCTCTGCACAGTGGCCCACCCCGGGACTCCCAGATCCAGGGTATACCTTTATTTTTACTTTTTCTCTTTGGCCTCTTTTGTTCCGTGTAAGTTTCCTCTGCAGAGCCGGTTCTTCCCTTACCCTTTCACCTCTCACCTTTGAAATAAACATTTGGCACTGTTTTTGGCATGAATCATCCAACTCTTCATTCCAGGCAAGAAGGACCTGGAGTACTTCTGCGTGGTGACCCATCTTTAAAGGAACTACCTAACCACGGCGTGATTAAGGTCTCCTCCAGCTCTGAAATCCAGCTTTATGGTATGTTAAAAATGTTGCCCTAGGGCCTGGGGATTTAGCTCAGCGGCAAAAGCGCCTGCCTGGCAAGCGCAAGGTCGCGAGTTCGGTTTCCGGTACTGGAGAAAAAAAAAAAAAAAAAAAAATGTCGCCCTGGTCGGGAGTGAGCATTATCATGTCATCATGGCATCATCATGTGATGAAGTTTCTTTAAGAACAGCCTTGGATTTTTTTGGTTTTTTTCCAGTACCGGGAATTGAACTCATGACGTTGTGCTTGCCAGGCAGGCGCTGTGCCACTGAGCTAAATCCCCAGCCCCCAGAATGAGAGGTTTTGATAAGAGTTGCCTTGCTAAGGACCTAACCACAGAATAGCAGTTTTTTGGTATCTAAAATAGGGACGTAGTACCTAGCATAAGAAGGGGAAACATCAGTGCCGTTTTCCTTTGCTGCAGTTCAGTGGCTGGTGTAGACTTGTGTGATTATTTAGCGTTGACTTAACACCAAGACTATAGAAACCACATAGCAAAGGTTCATTAGTTTAGGAAATAATATTTTAGACTCTTTCATTCGTGCTTTTTATTGCTTATTTATAGATTGCCCTCCACCCACACTCCTTAAACGTCTTAATTCAAACAACCATAATCAGTGATTGGCGTTTTTAGCACTGAACGTTGCTCACAGGCAGCGGCAAACGATTTTATTAGTTTCAGAAGGGGGCGCTATTGGGAACATGTTCCTTTGAATCAAGCGCAGCACAACTTCAAAAGTGTGAAGGAAAAAAAAATGTGCCGTGTGGGCCCCTGAGGACCTTGAGACCTTTTCAAGTGATCTTCAGAGTGAAAACTAATTTCATAATGATGCTCAGCGTGTGATTTGCCTTTTTCCTGTGTTGACATTTGCACCACCGGTACAAAAACAATGGCAAGGAAAACGGCTAGCAGCATCCGTCAAGACAAATCTCTCTCCTAATAACTGTTCTCTCCACTAACCGTGCACGATGAGGACAAAAAAGCCAATTTCACTGTGGAATTCCCTTGAAGTAGCCATGAAATTATTAAATCCTGACCCTCGAGAGCAGAACATTTTAATACCATCTGTGATGAAACAGGAAGGAAGAAATAAATCATTTCTGGTGCACACAGAGCCTGATGATTGGCTCCAGAGAAAGCAAGTGTGCAAAAAAGAAAAAAGGCAGGTTTGCAATTTGCACTGCTGCAGACAGAACTACTGAACTGGCCGGTTTTTTCACGGAACAGCGTTTTTGATCAAAAGGGTGACAGAAACTTCACACCAGGCCCTTGGCAGGCATCTTCACAAAAATGAACAAAACAAGCCTGTCGCTTCAAGGACAGCAGCTGACAGTAGCCCATGGTAAAATTCAAACCTTCACCTGAAAACTTGGGTTTTTAGGAAACTTGTCAATTAAGATGCTTTTCTGTCATGAGTGTGGCAGTTCCTCAATACTTCACAACTTTTCTGATAAGCTATAAAAAAGATAAGTTTTTTTTTTTATATTTTCATGGTGAAATATGTCAAAACTTCGAAGACCTGCACAAATTAGCAATCACGCTTTTCCAAATGGCCAGCGGACAAGGTTATGAAATCATTTCTGAGTGAAAATCCATCCGAAGTGCAAGACAGATAAATAGATTTTTGACAAAACTAAGTATAAAACATTGATTATGATAGCTTCATTTTTAACAGTGCAACTAATCTTTAAGAAACTACTAGTTATAGACTGCACTCATAGAACCTAAACCAAGAGGATCTTGAGTTCAACCCTATCCTGGGGGGTTGAACTTTGAGAGACCATGTCTCAAAATAAAAAATAAAAAGAGCTGAGGATGTAGCCCAGTGTGAAGGCCCTAGGTTCAATCCCCAGTGCCAAGAACAAAAGAACAAAAGGAATTACTAATTGTAAGTTTTGATGTAGTACCAAAAACCAGAGCTATTTGAAAAAACTATTAAAATTTTCCTCCCTTTTCTGACTAATCTAGATGAGGCTAGATTTTCTTATTATTCCTGTTGTTTCAAAGTAATAATTCACAACAGATTGAATGCAAAACCAAATACGAGGATCCAAGCTATTTTCTATTAAGCCAGACATAAAAAGATATTTGCAAAAAAAATTATCAAACAAAGCCATACTTCTAATTTTTATGTTTTAAAAAAATTAGTTATTTTTCCTTTAAAATGTTACTGATGTTGGCCAGATATGATGGTGCACATCTATAATCCCACCACTTGGCAGGCTGAGGCAGGAGCATTGCTGCAAGTTTAAGACCCACCTGGGCTACATTGTTGAGTTCAAGGCCAGTTTGGAATATATAGTGAGACTCTGTCTCAAAAATAACAACAAAAAGTTATTGATGTTAATTTGTTAACATTATGTAAATATGTTAACGTGTTTAATAAATATTTCAAAGACTTCTATGTTTTACTTCCTAATAGAGTAAATATCACTATGTACAATCCACAGAAGCAAAATCTCTTTATGGTCCTTTTGTGGTTGAAACATTGTGTCGGGGGCTGGGGATTTAGCTCAGCGGCAAAAGCGCCTGCCTGGCAAGCGCAAGGTCGTGAGTTCGGTTCCCGGTACCGGAGAAAAACCAAAAAAAACAAACAAAAAAAAAGAAACATTGTGTCAACTTGGGAAGTCTAGAGGTTTAACTAAGTAACTTAGCAGGAAACCAGAGTGCTTACTTTGTATACATCCTGAGCCTGTGAAAGAAGAGGACATGGAGATTATGTGAGAGCTACACGCCCCTTAGGTGGGGGTAACCTGTTTACAAAGTAAGGCAGGGAAAGAGGCTGCTTGCAGCCATTCCTCCAGTTTTGCTCTGGCTGTTTGCTGTTCTGCTGCCATTCCTCTTTGCTCCTGTTGCTTTGCTATCTTCTCCCTCAGAGCCAGCCAAGTATGGACTGAAACCTCCACAAACTGTGAGCTAAATAAACCTTTCCTTCCTTCATTTTGGGAGTTAGATATTTTGTCTCAGCAACGAAAAAAAAGTAACCAAGACAGTCCTCAGTATTTAAGAGTGAAAAGGGGGCCAGGGATATAGCTCAGCGGCATAAGCGCCTGCCTGGAAAGTGCAACGTCCTGAGTTTGATTCCCAGTAACAAAAAAAAAAAAAAAAAAAAAAAGAGTAAAAAGGATTCCTGAAACTAAAAAGTTTTTGAGAAATGCTGATCTTAGAAAACCAGGCTGGGGGAGGGTAGCAAATCAATTAGGATACTTTCTGCTGTAAGAAATAGAAAGCGCCATTTGAACTGACTTCAGCAGACCTGAAAATCTCTTCTCTCACATAAAGGAAGTGTCCAACTTGATTATTCAGCAGCTACATGATGCCAAAGACCTTGGATCTTTCTGTCTGTCCACTCTGCAACCCACAGTGCCAGCATCAACCCATATAGAAGGGGGAGGGCTGCAGTGGCAATCAGGATATATGTTTTCTTTCTCACCCATAGCAGGTGAAAAAGAAAAGTACTTCTTCCAACTGTGGAATAGAAACCCTCTGTTAGGGCTTGTATCTAGCTGGCCCTCCAAAGCCTCATGCCATCATAGGTGGAGGTTTTTGGAGGTGGCTGGATCAAGGGCATGTGATACTGGCATTAAGGGTGTGTGATTACTAAATTAATCCACTGATTGGTTTAGCATAGTTCTGGGTGTGGATAATGGAAGCCCCAGCCTGGGTATGGTTGGTGTCACCCAAAGGGCTGGTAGCCTGGATGGCATAAAAGGGAGAGGCAGGCTGCTGCTTTGGCTTGCTGCTGCTGCTTCACTGTCTCCTGCCTGCCCTGCCATGCACTGTTTCTCCTCTGCAATGCCACCCTGCCTCGGAGCCAGTCAGCTATGGAGTGAAACCTCTATAAACTGTGAGCTGAAATAGCCTTGCCTCCCTTAACGCTGGGTGTTGGGTGTTTTGTTTCAGCAATGAGAAAAGTAACCAAAACACCCCTTTGTGGTCTAGTTGGTCCAGCTTGTATTAGAGGCCTGCAGGGGAATGTTCGGCACGATTGAGCTAGATCTGCCTTGGAAGTGGGGTTAGGGAGGACCTCTCATAAAAATTATAGGAAGAGAGGATTCTGTTGGGAAGGAAGAGGAGAGCTGGATGCTGCAGAGGCTGTCTCTCCTGTCTTCATTACTTCCCCACTGCCGGAACAGAATGCCCAACACCCACAATTTAAAGGGAAAGAGTTTTCTTCGGGCTCATGGTTTTAACCCATGGTCAGCTGGCTTCAAGGAGAAACAGGATGGCAGAGGGACAGGCAGAGGAAAAGCTGCTCAACTTAGGGCAGCCAGGAAACAGAGAAAAGGGAGGCACCAGGGACAGGAATCCAGCCTTCCCACCCACACTTCTAGTGGCCACCTCCCGCCAGGCCCCACTGCAGCACACTCCGCTGTGGACTCATCCGTGGGTGGATCCACTGCACCCATGGTCCACTCACCTTCCACGCTCAGGATATTCCCGGGGACCTTTTAGAGCTAAACCACAGCAACTCTTGTCCAACAGGAACAAGAGAGGAACAACTGAGTCCAGCTGGAGTGTGGAAGCCGAACCAAATTCAGACCCCCTCCCCCAAGGATCTGGTTAGGAAGCAGCCCTGTCAGGCCCCTGTCCTGCTGGCTCCGTGGTCACCACTTCCTCCTGTGTCACGGGACAGAAGATGCCACTGCCACAGCCACTGCTGGAAAAGTGACTTCTAACTGCCCACAGCTTGTATTGAGGTAGAAACTGCTTAGTAGTGTTAAGATAGCAGAGCAATGGAGAAAGACCACTGCCCTGGCAGAAAACATTTCGTTGTAAATTGCTTCTCCAACCTTCAAGGCTGGTGTATATTGAACAGAGCGGGGGTTTCCAGCATCCTTCCTGGGACAACACCAAGAGGTTAACAGCTGAGGATCAAAAGCAGTTACCTTAGGTAGCAATGTCTGCACACCTTGGAATTCCCTGCAGGAACAAAGGCCGCCCCTCTCCCCTATATTTGGGGTCTCACCATGGGCTGGCTGAGCCCAGGGGAAGTGGCTCTTGGGCCGAAGTGGGAAGCAGGGGCAAACCTCCATCGCCCAGACCCTCCAGCCGACTGCAGCAAAGCAAAGGAGGTGGAAGGGAATCTACCAACTCTTCGTAGCAATTATCCCTAAGCATGTGACCAAGGACATTTGTGCTTCCCTTTCTCACAATTTTTAAGCCTCTGTAATAAACACATCTGAACTCTGCAATTTTTTACATGTGGTATATGTTTCATTCTCAAGTATTTTATTACCTAAAATTAATAATGAGAATCATCTTTTTTAACATAACTTTAAGGAAAGGTTTCCGAAGATGAGCACAGGTGCCCCCCTCGCCTGCAGAGCTGGCGTAGCACAAGCTGCAGCTCATTTTACTTCCTGCTTGAAATGAGAACATCACCATATGATATGCATGCCTATTTTTATAAGTAATTCATCTTTTCTTGCACAAAAGGAAACTGTGGAGCGGGTACAAGAAACATGTGAACTCCAGTCACTCTCCGCACAGTACCCTAACTCTCCACAGCAAGAAACAGGGTCTTGCCGTGTTGTCCAGGATGACCTTGCACTTCTGATCCTCCCACCTCAGCCTCCTGAGTAGCTGGGATTATGTGACTTAATTCTGCGTGGCTCTGCCACCCCACCTGCCCGTTTTGTGGCGGAGTGTTCCTCAGGGTGAGCCAAACCCCTGTCCTCCAACCCAGCCTGCCAGGAACCTCCTCCTTCAGGGAGAAGCAGGGGGAACTTGTGAAAGGACTGAGACAAGTGACAGAAACCCAGAGCCTTTTACTATACAGATGACAGCAAACTTGCATACAGGAAGCGAATTTAGAATTGGACTGCAGCTGACGTTCTGGGAGACACGTTCCAGGAGCGCTGTGAATATACAAATCCAAACCTGTACTTTTACGGGTGTGGTATTAGAGATTGAACCCTGGCCCTTTTTCTTTCCGCTACTTTTTTCCTCAGCCCTTTTTTTATTTTTTATTTAGAGACAGAGTCTCCCTAAATTACTCAGGCTGAGCTTGAACTTGTGATCCTCCTCCCTCAGCCTCCCAGACTGCTGGGATTACAGACATGCACCACCTCGCCCAGCCAGTACAGCTTTTTAAAGTATTTTCCATCCATGGTTTGTGGAGTCCCCAGATACAGACCCTGTGGACACAGGACTAAGAGAACCCACTCTACTCAGTCAATAGGAGAAAAAGGATGAAAGAGAAACAATTCGAGATACGCTGACTAGTCAGGCAGTGGCGAGACCTCCTGATTTGCCTGAGTGTGATGACTTTCCCGAGATGAGCATTCTGCTTTAAAATCAGGCTGGGCCCAGACAGACGAAGAGGAGTGGGTCACCTCACCCAGCCTGTCACACTCAGGTGTCTCAGCCTGTGGCCTCTAGATCTCCTGTCTTCCTCAGCCCACACGTGTGCCCTCCTCTCTGTGGTCCTGATCAGACAGCTCAAGTCACAGCCCACAGTTACTGAGCATTTACTCAGGATCAGGCCCTGTAGGTCAGACCCAAAGGGGAAACCCCATAATCACCCCCCTGTGACAGGAGAACTGAGACTAACAGTGTGTGCAGATACGTCCATCAAGCCAGCATCTGCCTGCACGGGAGCCTGCACATGGTCACCACACTCTGCTTTCAGCAGTGTGCAGGAGAGACGGAGGGGACGAAGGAAGGGAGGGAGGAAAATGGGAGGGTGACAGAGAAGGGAAGATGGGAGAAAAAATTAGTGATGAGTGGGGCAGAATTGAATGCCCTCCCTCTCGGGAGAAGAACCTGTTACATCTCAGAATCAGCCCCTTGGGAAGGAGGAAGGATGGAAGGGGAAAAGGAGGGAGGAGGGATGGGAGGAAGGATGCGGCCCCAGCCTCCACTGGCTCGTGGCCACGTTGCCTGTGGAGCTGACAGAGCACCAGCTGCAGCTCCCTTTGCTCCCCACCAGAAATGAGAGTGTTATAGGATATTCATGCCTAATTTTATAAATAATTCATGTTTTTCTGCATAAATGTAAAATAGCCTGAAGCTAGAATTTGTAAAAGCAACATCAGTGCCTTATTCATAAAATAATAATGTGCTAGTCTGCAAGACAGTTTGTGAAAGTGTTGAAGCCAAAATACACCTCGTCCAGTCCGACTAGAGCCTGCAGATCTCAGTACACATGGCAAGGTCCGGGTGAGCTCCTGAATCCGGGCTTTCCCACATCAGTTCCCCTTCGCCCAAGGAGAGCTAGCAGATAACTTGGCACATAAGCGTGTTTTGGAAGCCCAAGCCCAAGCCCCAGTACACAAATGCTTTTTTTTAACTCTACAAAAATAAATTACAAACAAAAGAACAGTAGAGTCCTTGTTCAACGACAGCTGTGGGGAATGAGGCCAGAGATTGTCAGTGCTTGGGAGAGTCTGTTCCCAAGCCTGACCAGAACTTCCCTCTGCAGAGGAACAGCGGTGCTGAGAGCTGAGGTTGTCATGGTGCGGACAGCTGTGCTGCGTGATGAAGTTGGGCTCTAGGGTGGGGGTCCCCTCCCCAACCAAGGGCATGCACTGGTTTAGCTTTTACGCCAGACAGGTCCGTTTGGTGACCTATGATGATTTTTAAAGTTCTAACATTGCTCGTGTCTAAATACCTTCAGAAAGACCGAAAAAAACCATAATGTTGATTGGCATCAGGTGACCATCACAGTTTGCTAGGAATTGGGGGTTTCTGGAATAAGCAACTCTCCATGCTAAGCCAGGAAGTCCCAGACAAATCAAAACCCTTTGGTCACCCTACCAAAACAAAGGGAATATGGATCCCTGGGACAGAGACAGGGGAGAAAATAATAACTGTACCCTTTTGTGAGATTGCGATCTTGCACCATGTGTTTAATACCTGTTCAAAAGCATAGGTACAGGGGTCAGGGATGTAGTTCAGCGGTGCAGCACCTGCCGGGCAAGCACAGGCTCTGAGCTCAATTCCCAGTACCGAAGAAAAAAAATTCGGTAAACCATCTAGGGACAGGACTATTTATTTAAATGAGGAGAGTTCTTAGAACAGTAAACAATAGTTTATTGGACCTATGCAGAATTAATGTCTGCTGCATTTCATCTGTTTTTGAAATATGACCTCCAAAGGATGTTTATCAAAAGAATTCAGTGGCCAAGCACGGTGGTGCATGCCTGTAATCTCAGCTCTCTGGGAGGCTGAGGCAGGAGGATTGCAAATTCACACACAGCCTGGGCAACCAAGCAACTCAGCAAGACCCTGTCTCAGATTTAAAAGGGAGCTGCGGGTGGGAGCTTGGGGTGTAACTCAGTGCAAAGGCCCTGGATTCAGCAAAACAGACCAAAAAATCTCAAAACTTGCGCAATTCTAACATCAGTGCTTACAAACCCAGGAAGATGATGAGGCTCACACTGTTGCTCCATTCTGAAGGTCAGGAAATGCAGGCGAGGAGTTACCCAGCTCCCAAGGCTTGACGGGAGCCTGCCACGGGGCCTCCTGTCCCCAGGGCAGGCCTCCTTTCCACTGGCCTACTTTACTTCTGGTCGTATTGTCCAACCATGGAAACGCAGGCTGCTGCCCGAGAGAACTGCTGCTATCAGTTCTCCAGCGTCCCCCAGGAGATGCGCAGGCGACCAGCGATGACACAGTGCTGGCGGGTGGAGTCCTCCCAGCCAACCCAGCCACGGCAACCAGTGCCACCCACAGCGACCTCCCGCCGGGTTCCAGCAGGACGCAAAGGCCACTGATGCGAGAGGGGAGGGAGGGCCCCAGCCCCTGAACGAGGGGGGCGCCATCTGTCCGCAGCTCCTTCTGCAAATCAGCATTTTTCACTACACATCAAAGTCGCTTCCGACGGAGAGGCAGAGAGCAGCTGCGCGGAATTAAACAGGCTTCGGCCTTCTTTCCCCAGAAAAGCTGAGGGTGAGGATGCGGCAGCCCGCCCCCCAGGTGGCCGTGTGGAAACTGCCCCCAGCCTGCCCGGGGGAACCACAGCAGCTGCGGTCTCTTCGCAGAGCCGCAAGTGGCATTCGTCCCAGTCCAGAAAAGACATCCCCACCGTACCTGTCCGCACAATGACTCTCACGACCCGCAAAGGCCCAGATTAGACTTCGCGTCTGCACAAATGGGCGTTTTAATTCCCAGCAGGGCTCGGCCTTTGAAGGATGGGAACACAGGGAAACTGGGTTTAGAGATGTCCCTGGGTGGGTCGCTCTTTCTGTCATCGCCCACAGCGAAGGGCCCAAAGCTGAATCCCACTATCCATGCGGGACAGCAGAAGAGTTAAAGGTCCTGGTTCAAGTCCTGTCCCTGCACTTTATGAACCTAGATGGCTTTTGCTTCTATATTTGTCACTAAACTGAAGGCAAACATCCGGGTCTCACCAAGCTTGTTTCCTCGTTTGTAAAATGGTGACAATATGCAGGAAGGTTGAGGCGACAATTAAATACAGGTAGAGTTGTTCACATCATGTCTAGCCTATAACAAGCTTTCGATAAATGCTAACTGTTATTTCTATTCATTAAAGAGCATGGTGCATTCAATAAAGTTTGGTTTCCTTCCCTACAGGAAATAAATTAATTCAGGTGGTGGGAAATGTAATTATACCATGGACAAGTCTTCTCTTTGGACAGTGGTTGGCTACCTTGGTTACACATTAGGATCCCCTGGGGGACTTTTACAAACCCTGATGCCCAAACCAGACCCATTAGTTCAAATCTTCCTTGATGGATCCAAGCCTCAGATCATTTTAATCACTCCCCTGTGATCCTAATAGGCAACTGGGTTGAGAACTACTGCCTTCAGGCAGGGGCTGTTTGCTCTTTACCTCTTAATTGCAGTCTTTCTAAATGGTTACCCCTAACCTAGCTGCTGTTGTCAGCATAAAAGTTTAATATGCGTTGTGCTTTGTCTACCTTCACTTTGGCTTCAGGGTAAGAATTGGAGAACTCTCAACACTGAGCCATACCAGTCTATTCCCAAACCCCTCCTAGGGCTGGCGCCCATGTTCCTAACAGCCTTGTCCATTTGTTATATGCAGCTGAGGTAGATAGAAATATTACAGGCAGTCAGACAGGGCCAGCCCCTCAAAGGAGCCAGTACGGAAGATGAGATACCTTGCAAATGGAGACATACTTGCTTCGGGCCAGACCTCAAGACAAAAGATTAAACAAATGCTCCCATATACCTCCCTAGGAATAGACATCAGGGATTGATATTT